CAGCAATTCTGGGGCTCTGACGCGACAGTTGAAAACCGGTGACTCCAGCCAGCGTCTTCCGGCGAGCAGCAAGAGGTCTTGGGGGCATCGAGTGTGGGGACGGGGGTGGCAGCAACGCTGGCACGCGAGGGATAAAAATTGGTGTGTCATTCTCCCTATCTTCAACTTCATCTTCAGGCTGGACCGAGGGAACCTCATGTACTGGAGTAATTGGTGTGTCATTCTCCCTTTCTTCAACTTCACCTTCAGGCTGGACCAAGGAAACATCATGGACTGGTGTATGATTTGATCTGTAGTTGTAGTTATCTTCATCTTCCTCTTCAGTCAGAACTGGCACATCTTCAGTTTGGGCAGTAGGAGTAACATGGCCTTGTGGCAGTTCAAAGTTGTTGCATATGCTGTTGTCTTCAGGCACAACTTGAAGGTGTAATGGAGATGGTGTTTCCAGGACAACATCTGGCATGACTTGCGATGTAGTTGGGGTGACCAGCACAAGCTCAGGTGTGGCAGCAACATTCTTCTCAACAGGCACATCATTAAGCATGGCAGGGGCCTCCAACACCAAGCCATGCTCCTCATCAAGCGTCATGGAGGGTTGGATCTTGGTGATTATGCTTGCAGCGCCGCAGAGCCAACCCAGACCATGCCCTGAGGGGTTGATCTCAATTACGTCGATGGAGGTAGTCCATGGGGAGGGCGGTAGTGAGCGTCCACGGCTCATTGACCTGCTCCCGTCAGCTGAGCCATCCCAAGAAGAGGCCAACGCCCGGCGCCGGCCATCACGGCCGCGGTCATCGCGCCCACATTCGGCGCTGCAGTCATCACGGCGCCCATCATCTCGGCGTTCAGGAGCCCGCGAATGACTGCGGAAGATACCCCGCCAGGAGGAGGATCGCGGCCTGTCTATGTCACGCCCACGCCTGTCATCTCTGTCCCGGTCATCATCCCGTCGGCGTCGATCATCCTCATCGCGGCGTCTTGGTGGTGGTTCTTGGCGGTCCCTCGGTCTGGCCTCTGCATCCACCACACCATAGATCCAGGTGAAGGGATCCGGGCATGGGCGACGGGGGATGTTGCCAGCAGCGTCGGGAGTGTAGTTCTCCAGCAGGTCCAAATGCACAATGGCATGTCGACGGATGCCAGAGTGCCCAATGGCCGAAGACGGAGCTCCGCCCAGTCCGGTGGCCACCCGCGGAGCGATGGTGACGAGCTGCACCTTGGGGATAGCCGATGGGTTCGCCGACCAAGCCCACAGCTTGAGACAAGAGGCATCCTCCTTTCGCAGTGTAGCGATGTCGAAGTAGTGAAGGAAGGTATCTGGCCCGAGCACTTGAGCCGCCACGGCGTCAGACCATGCACTCAGAGGGATGCTCTCGATGCAGAGATGAACATGGTAGTTTGCTCGGACCATGTCGGCATGAGCGTCAAGGTGCCAGTTGGTGGAGTGCAGGTCGAGGCCGTTGTGGCGGAAGCGCCTCTCCACTATAATCTTCAGGATAGTGGGGGACAACCTTGACATCTCTGATCCTGAACAGCACGTCGATGGCCTCCTTGATCTCCGCAGTGCTCACCGCCGGTCTTGTTCCCCCGAGCCAGATAAGTGCACCCAGGGACGCCAAAGTCACCGCATTGGCATCCATCTCCGGGGTGGAGACGATGACCACACGGCCCTCCTCAGGACGCAGCGATGGATCACCAATGCGGGGCTCCTGCCTAGCCATGGCGCACGATGACGGCGTCGAAGCAGGCGATGCAGGGCGTGGAGAAGCCGCCGAAGACGAAGCAGAGCGAGGCGTCGATGCAGGGGACAGAGGGGAGGGTGACGGGTCGTTGGTGCAACCCCTCTCCCTATGTCCAAATCGTCTACAGCGACGACAGGTCAGTGGGTTACGGCAGTCCACTTTGCAGTGGCCTTTGAGGAGGCAGCGATGGCACTCACGGTCCTAGAGCTTGACGAAATCCTTCGGCCGCTGGGGAGGGGAATAGGAGGATGCAGCTCTGCGAATTGAATTCCGATTGTTGGAGCGGCCTTCACGCCACCAGTACGCCGGGCGCACGAAATGCAATTCAAGAGCAGAAGTGACCTGCCTTGAGATCTCCTCTGACGGCGCAGGGCTCGAGCGAGAGCACCAGCTTGCACGCCGAGCGCCGGTCTTAAATGAAGCCGCTGGAACCAATTTAAGGCATGGCCTGTGTGCGCCATTAATTGGGGGAGGCGGCATGTATTCTAGAAGATCGGCATTAATAGCGAAGCTTACTCTGCGAGGCAGCTCCGCAACCTCGGATATGCCCCCGGCGACCGTTGGAAGTGCAGGGGCGGCCCGGGGCCCCAGATCTAGGCTGACCTCGGCCAGCTGAGGAAAAATGGAAGCGACCAGATCCGGGCGCCGGAACCGCGGGGATGGGAACCCCGGAGGGAACCTAGGGGAGGGCGAGGTTGAGATGGCGTTCAGCTGGGAAGCAGGGGCAGCAGAACTCGCGGAGGCAGCGGCGAGGGTGGCTGCGGGCGCCGGAGTAGCGCGTCGCAGGAGCGTGGGAGCGTGGGAGCTCGGCATAGTCAGGCGTACATGTAGTACGTAGGAAACAAGCGGAAGGTGCGTCCAGCTCAACTGAAAAAGAGGCAGGGTTTAAACAATATATTTTGCATTAACCAAGGAGCATTGTTTGACATATAGAACCCGTAATAATGTGTGGTGACCGGTAGCTTGCAAAATTATGTTACAAGGGAGGATATTGGGCTATGCAATCCTGCTGAGGCCTACTGACCTCCCTCTAACTTGAAGTAGAAAGGAAAGCTGTACTGTAGAATGAAGATGAAATTGCACACATTATCGCAGTTGAAAGGAAGAAAGTGCTCAAACATACAAGCAATTACAAAGGCTTCTCAGGCTTGCTCAGCAGGACCGCATTCATGAAGAGAGACAATGGTAGACCGGTATACAAACTCCTATCGGAAATCCAATAGAACTAAAAAACTATGTACAAAGAATTCGTTTGATATTGAATAATTTCACTTAACATTATCATTTTGTTAACCAACACTCAACACATACATGGCAAGAGAACATTATATTATACATAGCCAATGGAGGCCTCGCATATTAACATTACTGACCAAGCACACAACCTTTTATTCACAACATATAATGTGCATATGCACTCTTGGTTCCATGCATACATATGACAAGCATCTTGCACTGATTACCTGATTGACCATACGAATTACAGCAACACCAACACTAGCTTATGACTTGAACATGCTTGTGTGGAGAAGGGTGGTGATATAGAAGCTTGCCCAAGGCATGCTTTTAAAATACATGATAAGAGCATTACAGGAAGCCTAGAAATGCAATAGTTCATAGACAAATTTAGTTCATCTCCCAAAGTAAGCTGCAATCCTACAAGTTGATGGTTCAAAGTGGCAAATTCTAAATTGTAAAACTTTCTGAAGTTCAATCAAAACTTCAAAAATACGAGCGTAAAGTTTAAACAAATCTTAATCCAAATTTTATTCTAGAAAAAGTAGCAAATTGTAACAACATTCAGCTCTCTTCATCCTTCATTCATGACTTTCACTATCTTAGTCCTCGCCATTTCGCCGTCCTTTCATGTTCAGTGGAGACTCCACTAGGAGGGCAGTGAGTTGTTTCCTGAACCCCGGGATGTCATCCTGCGTAATAGGTTGAGTCAGTCTCACAGTTGTAACAACGGGAATGGTATGGTTAAATTAAGTGTGGACATCGTACCGCTGTGTAGGCTCCATCTAGATTGTTGCCTGTAAACTTTTCCATATTCTTTACCGCAAAAAGCCCACATGACATGCTGCAATCATATTTATTGTTTATAAATATTTTTTTACTATGAATACTAAATGTGTGATTTTAAATGATGTATACAGTACCTGTCTTTCTGTTATGGTATGTTTTTGATAACTTGAACTTTCCAAGTGGTGATGTTGAAATCCTTCCAAGTATTGACTTTTCGGCCACCATGCAGATATGCTACTTCCATATGGAGTTGCATGCCTTTGAGCTACAATAAGTTAAGAAGCATAAGACATATAATATGAAAATTAACTCTCGGTATGTATTTACTAAGCATTGAAAAATGTACCATGTTTTCTAGTTTCGGGTGGGCTTTCTTAAACTGTTTATTGTTAATGGCATCGAATCCAAAACTTGCACTGCTCTTTTTTTGGCATTGACAACCGCCACGTACCAATGCTTATTCATCATATTCACAGGAAGAGAAACCTGCATTTTAGACATAATTAGTTCTGTACCATTTAGTAATTGACTTAGACTACTGTGACTTACCATATCATGGGAAAGGTACTTTTTGCCATAAGTACTAGTAGATGTTTTGTTCTTTAGAGCATGGGTATAACTTGGAACGCTTCCGTCTCTGACTAGCACACCGCTTACTTATGCTCTCTCTAGGTAGATATTCCCGTCAGCCCGTACATCTGGATTGGGGCGCATGTGGCGTACCCATGTTATGGCTGCATCCAAGATCTAAATTGCAAAGCAGTAAGGAATCGAAATAGAAAATAACAATCTGTTAACTATTTAAGAAGTTAGCACATACCTTGCATTGCAACCATCTGTCCATACTACTTTTAAAGGTTGGAGCTGTCAAACATCTAAGATCAGCGCGATAGAGATGAATTTCATCAATTTGTACCAACACTTTCAAAGAGGGGGATGTATTGACATAGTCAATGACCTCTTCAACTATTTATGGTCAAAGTTGGACCTCGGGAAGCACGTGCGGACTATATTTTGGAATGAAGGGAGTATCAGAGAGTGCGGCAAAAATAGGAAATAATTTGTACAACAATATGTATTAAATTTAACCACAGAAATGCACGGGTTGTCTCCCTAGTTTTGTTAAATGGATAATTGCTTCAAGCCAATACATATAGAGACATAAATTTACGCATGCCCGCGGATCTGAATTTTTAACTCTAGTACATGTGTTTTAAGCCAGTAGGAAACAAATTATGGACGTGCAACATGCACTATCGGTGGATCCGCGTAGGGGCCATGGAGCCACCCATCAGCAATGGCCCTGTAGGCGGACTCCGTCAGGTGGAAGCCATCCCACTGAAGCGCCTGAGATGGATCTATGCACGCCTTCACACTCGGCAGGCCACACCCTGCGTTGAAGTCGTAGTTATAAGGAGGGCCTCCTGCACCACAATAGGTGAGGAGGGTTGTGCTACTGTTCAGTCCTGCAAGATGCCACGGGGAGATTACAAGTTCACATCTTTTCTTGTGGCACTACATTAATCTTGAACTACAGAACACCTAGCTAAATTAATCAGAAAGGAGTACCAGCTCACCAAAATGCGCCGGCATATCTAGAAAAGCTAGGACAGGTCGGTAGTACTCAGCGGCGATGATCTTCGTATGTGGGTACTTGTGCCGGAGCAACTTGATCCGTTGGCGGAGGAGAGAGTTCTGGTAGCGCCCCAGCCTGTTCCCACTCTTCAGGCATCCATGCCGATCGTACTCCACCTTGTTTGGGCTAGCGAGCATTGTGAGAATTGGCGGTATGCAGCCAGTCGGGAAGACGTCTGCCACAACGATGTATTTGGCACCTTGTTGGATCAGTCTCTGCAAGGGTTTGTCAGTTCCTTGGTTTAGCTTGAGCCATGCACTAACATATAAGAATAGAAGTGTTACCAAATTAAATATGCCTATCACCCATTCTTTGTATATTACAGTACCCATAGTAGCTTGTAGTAAGCTAGTGGTCCTTTTTAGCACTGTAAGCCGGTAGTCCTCTTATTAATAGTTCACATTATTTTCAGTTTCAAATTTTCATGTTGCAATTTGATTTTGCAACCTTGTTGGGCTCTTATTAGTAAAAGAAATTGTATTCTCCAGATAAAGGAAATTTATCCTGGTATCAGTTTGGACACATTGTGGGCAGCGCATCTTAAAATGGGCAGTTGAAATATTACCACAATTTATCTAGAAAAGAATGTTACTATATAAGTACTGTTTTGATAATAAATATTTTTAGAATTGATTTTTTTAACCGATGATTTATGTTAGATAAAAAGAGATTACACTAGAGATGAGAGACATATTTTTGCGTAGAAAATCCACGAACAGAGGAAGGTGGAATTTCACTATGATAGAGAAGTATTACAACTACAAGATGGCATGACACATGCGACTAAATGTGGTACATATAGAGGGCAATTAATAAGAGTCCTTGGGGATAAGAAAACAAGTTGTACTCATATGCGTGAATCCTTATACCTCTCGTACTATGTTAACACTAGAAGGTACCTTGTCCAATACGGTCATAATTTGGATCACAATTTAACAAATTACATTATTATAGCACCAAAAATACACATTTCACTAATCTTGCTTGACTTGTTTTAATAATTTCTCAACATTTATTAGTTCTAAAATTACTTATTGGAAAATCGTTATCTAATATACTGGACTCTTTTTGTCTCTAATTTATACAGGCCAGAACTCCATTGATTCTAGCCACATAATCAAGAACAAATTTTCCTAATGATGGATATGATCACTGCGTGACGCAACCAGCATATAAAAGATAAACAAGTCTTTCGTTGCAGAATTAAAGTCACAAGAAAACATGTTGAGCGAGTAGCAAATTGTGAGAATTAAAGGAAGAATGGACTTTTCATCCAGTGTAGTACCTCTACGCCTCTGGAGATGCCGTCAACAATTTGAGGAACATAAACTAAGGTTTGTTCAACAGTCCTGTTCGACATAAGGATATTCCTGTAGTCATTTGATCCAAACTCTCCCATGACAAATAGGGATCTCGCGAAGCAATCCGTATTTTGTCCTACACACGCCATCACATGGACATAATTACGGTGCTTTCTAAAAACCATGTGATTGGGGACCAATGTTTAGCCACCTACCACTGGTGGAAAAAGGGCCTTTGGTCGCGGTTCGCAACTGTCATTAATCGCGGTTGCGCAACCGCGACCGGACGGGCGCGACTAAAGGCCCCCCCCTTTAGTCGCGGTTGCTTAAGAACCGCGACTAAAGGCCCGTCCACGTGGCGGAGGACCTTTAGTCGCGGTTCTTGTGGCTAACCGCGACTAAAGGCCGCCACAGGTTTTTGAAAAAAAAAATTGAATTTTTTTTTTCAAATTTCTGAATTATTTTAACCTCTAGTCTCTAATCACCACCCCTCATCACTTCTCAATTTATTCTTTTATCACCCCTCATCATTCCAAATCATCTAACTTCCCAACCGGTCACCCATCCCTCTCACTACTCCAGCCCAAGCACGCTTGACTTCCGGGTTCTATTCTCCCACGCTCCAAGTCTGCACTTATTGTTTTCCTGACAATAATAAGATGTCAATCCTATTAACCTTCAGGAATTTTGCTTGAGCATGAAGTGACACATTTCACTGTTTGAGTTTGAAACAATAATTATTTAGTAACACTAATATTTCTTGAATAATTAGTTTGACCATTGTTTGACCACAGTTTGACCACAGTTGACCACAGTTTGACCAGATTTGACCAAAATTGAAATAATTAAAATAATTATTTAGTAACACTAATATTCTAGAATAATTAGTTTGACCATTGTTTGACCATAGTTTGCCCACTGTTTGAATATTTTTCAATTTTTTCCACTCTAGATCTTACAAGCCCCGTAACTTTTTTTCTATTAGGTTTTTGAGGATTTTGAAAATGTTTAACGGGGTTCCCACAGTTTCGCGACTAATGGGGCTGGACGGAAGCCTCTTTTTCCACCAGTGTACCCTTGCAGAGCGAAGGCTTGAGTTTCTGGAACCACTCGAGCTGATCGTGGAGGGAGCTGTTGATCGGTGGGTTCACGGTCATATTTTGCCCCTGCAGGTATGTCAGGTTCAGAGCCGGCGCTCCTGCCACAGCGAAGTTGACTCCGGCGGAGAAGTTGCTCCCCTTGGCGAGGTACGGCGGCACGAAAGGCAGGCCCAAAGCCTCGGCTGAAAAATGAAGCAACGATATATGTAAGCTCTCTCTCTCTCCCTCTCTCTCAGTCAGGATCAGCAAAGATTGTCTTTTAGACTGTAGTTGACCAAGATTGGCAGTGCATATATAGGTGTTTACCGATGAAGTCCAGCACAAGGCGGCCGTCGGTGGCACGTCCGGTGGGGTGGCCGAAGAAGGTCTGGCCGTAGGGGAGGTTCTCGAATGGTAGAGGACCGGGAAAGAAGGGCTCAGGCCACATGACCAAGTTACCCGTGTCGGCGTAGGAGTCGCCGAAGCTGATTATGGAGGTGAAGCGGCTTCGGCCGCCACCGGAGTAGGCACCGCGGAGGCAAGCCAGAACGAAGAGGAAGAGGAACGCTGCATGAGGTGTTCTCATACTTGGTTGCTTGCGCTGCTGTGCCAAAGCTTGCTTGATGCTTGTAAGTTGGGGCTTCCATGCATGCTTGGTCTCCAAATGCTATATAGTGTATAAGCAAGCATACCCTGATAAACAAGGCAAAGTGAAGGTTAATTAAAATGCACATATGTTATGATGATTTTCCAGTCAACCAAATGTATGTTTGATGGGCATTTCCTACGAATTTACAGGTATATCTTCTTACTAACGGACTCTTCAACTTGGCACCTATTATTTATTTAAGAAAATATGAGCTGTACATTGTGAGACTTGATCAGTGCTGACTATGCAGGCAAATTCTCTCTTTGACTAGAACAAATGTAACAGTTTAAATGATTCCATTGTAGTTTGACCCTTTTGGAAAAAGGTACTCGTTTTTTTTTCTTTGCATTACTACGTAACCAATGACATCTTGCCGAGCATTAGAATACAAAGTGAAGTATATCATGGAAATTACAACTAGGAAGTGGACTATTTTGTGGGTTGACTTTCTTAGTAGCAAGAGAAAAAAGCAGACTGACTTTGATGCAAAGGGGAATTGTCGTTGGGGGTGCACTTGTATGATAAAACGTGCTCGTTTGCTATACTTTTCCAACCAAAGAACCAAGCATAAAAATCGAAAATCAGGCGAAACTGAACCCCCACACGACCCACGACGCACGTCCCCCACAAGACGACGCTCACCTACTGCTCACAGTAGGCAAGCTACAGCCTTTGCGCACCGTGGCGGGCATCAACGGCTGCGGCCGTGGTGTGGCAAGCACGGCTCCAACGGCCGTGTTCTTCGGTGGCGGCGGCGAAGCGTGGCTCCTCCGGCGATGAACCCACAAGGAGGCGGTGGTTGAGATGTGCGAGGCCCCTGCTAACGACGACGAGCCGGCAGCGTGCTATTTTATTCCATGTTGACATCTCACACACGATCGGGCATGTCTTAACCGTTTGTAGCTAGCTAGAAACATTGCACAAGTTTTTCTGATTGTGTTCGATTTTCCTGCACCTTGACCTATCGGCAACGAGATCGAGGTGCAACTCCAACACTTCCTGGAGCATACGTGGAGTTTAGGGGTAACCGCCTCGGAAACAAGTTATACGACCAACTTACCTTGCTTGAAACGGATTTTAGCCTTGCGCGGAGCTGGGCCTAACTTGTCGTTGCAGCTCTTTATATGAAATCTAAGTGAGTGAATCAAGCATAAAAGAAAAATAAAAAAGAGAAAGAAAATATTCACACGAATCTTAATGTAAGATCAATGACATATGACTTAGATGTGCAATACTTATGGCACATCTAGATGTGCTTTAGCAAAACTGTTATATGAAGTCAAGTCATATAAACCCCCAGCCCGGCCTCTTCCTCCAGCCAAGCGTGCCAATCGAAGGAAGGGGCATCGCCAAAGATGGCCAACAAGGCAAATTGCTGCGTGTTCACCGTGATCACAATCCTAGTCTGCCTCTTAGCCGCCGCCGTCGGGTTCGTCATGATCGACTGCATGATCAACAAGCCGTGGTACTCCGCTGTCATCGACTCCGCCGCCGGACTCGACCCAGCCACGGATCTCGCCCGCCCCTTGCTGGATCCGCTCTTCAACCTCACACTCCGCGTCGCCTCCCCGAGCCACATGCTCACGCAGTGCATCGAACCTGGCACGAATGTAGAGGTGACATACCACGATGTTCTGCTCGCGAGCGGACCTGCACATCGGCTTTGTGCTGGGCCACGGAAGGTGCCAAGGGGGCAGGCGGTCATCACCCGTGGGCACGGGGTTCGTGTCCCAGGGTTTGTGCTTGATAGACTCGCGGAGGACATGAGGCGTGGGGTTGGCTCATTCGACGTCACACTTACAATGCCACCGACCCACAAGAACAACCACGGGGCGCTAGTTTCTTGCAGGGCTAGGCGGATCGGAGACACTGCGGCCCTACAAACTCCGTGCGACGCATCCAATACGGACATCATGTGGGCGTAAGAAGTATTAACCCTACTAGTTTATGTTCGGTTAGTGTACCTAAATAAAAATTCTTAGATGGGTTGTGTCCATGACTTGTTGTAAAACTAGATGCATCGAAGAAGACGGTAAAACCTCAGGAACTTTGATGTATTTTCCAGGGTTTTAAACTGTTTTTCAGGGTTCTTTCTAATGTTGGCTTAGTTAATAAATCTGAGTTTTTTTCTACTTTTTGTATATGGCTTATATTTTTGTTTGAGGGTTTTGTCTACTACTTATATAACCGGAATAATTTGAGGGACATATCGTCATGAAAATCACTGAAATATTGTTATCGCCCTAGTTGAGACGTGATTGTTTTGGAGCAAAGTTGAGATGTGAATGAGTGCATGTATGCAAGGGCCCAATGGTTGTGACTCGTGATTTGGTTGAAGGCCATGTCTTACAGATTGCATGGACAGCTAACGAGATTGAAGCCCGACCCTTTCCTTCCGTGCCGGACATGCCGATGCTCATGGATGGATGCCTAAACTAGGTTATGTACGTCACCATTGCTTTCTCTATATTCATGGATGAATTCCTCCGTGACAAGGCTCGACACTTTGCTCTTCACTTCACGGACGATCTGGCCATAACGTCCAAGTGCTTCTTCCATCAAGTTGTTTTCTCCGAGCCTCGTCACATGTTTTTCTTGTGTTTTAAACCCTTTTGGGTTCTTTTTTCTATATATCCTGAAAATGTTATAAAAATATATACTTGGAAAATTCATTATTATTTTGTTAATTTGACAAAAAATAATCATGCATTAGAAATGTTTATTGCATATTTAAGAAATATTTATCATGTATTAAAAATGGTCATCTTGTACCTAAAATATCGACATCCACAATACTAAATAGAAACAAGTTGGAAATTCATTTCATGATGAATCTAATAATTTCCAGTCAAACATAAAAAGGTTTGACTTTTCAAAAAACAAATACACAATATTTTGAAACAGATAGAGTAAAATGATTGCGAAAACCCAACAACACCAACGACGCAGCAAAACATGCTCATTCCTTCTAGTATGTATTAAATTCAACGACACAAATGCACGGGTTGTCCCGCTAGTTTAGTTAAATGGATAATTGCTTCAAGCCAATACATAGAGAGACATAAATTTATGCATGCCCGTGAATCTGAATTTTCAACTCTAGTACACATGTGTCTTAGGCCAGTAGGAAAGAAATTATGGGCGTACAACATGCATTATCGGTGGATCCGCGTAAGGGCCATGGAGCCACCACTAGTAGAAAAAGGGGCTTTGGTCCAGCCAGAAAAGAGCATTAATCCCGGTTGCATTACGAACCGGGACTAATGTGAGCATTAGTCCCGGTTCAAGCGGCGAGGGCACCATACAGGCATTACTCTCGGTTCAAATGAGACCTTTAGTCCCGGTTTGTGGCACGAACCGGTACTAAAGGGTGCGATGCCCATTAGTACCGGTTCGTGCATTACTCTCGGTTCAAATGAGACCTTTAGTCCCGGTTTGTGGCACGAACCGGTACTAAAGGGTGCGATGCCCATTAGTACCGGTTCGTGGCACGAACCGGTAATAATGGAGTTGAGACCTTTAGTACCGGTTTGTGCCA